TGAGTTCATAGAAACAAAACTGTGAGGGTGTGGTCGGAGCCTAAAGCGGACAATATCGTGCTACGGTGGAGTCAAGCTCGGGATGTGGTAGGGGCCCGAGCCAGGATGTGACAATTTGGTATCAGAGCCAATCCCTAGCCGGAAATGTGCGACGAGGATGTCGGACCCCTGAGGGGGTGGATTGTAACATCCCACATTGCCAATGGGAATGGATCCTCTATGCCTTATATGTATATTCTCATATCTACCTAGTACGAGGCATTTTGGGAACTCACTGGCTTTGGGTTCCATCGGAACTCCAAAGTTAAGCGAGTTCGCGTGAGAGCAATCCCAAGATGGGTGACCCATTGGGAAATTCTCGTGTGAGCTCCTAGAAACAAAACCGTGAGGGCGTGGTCAGGGCTCAAAGCGGACAATATCGTGCTATGACGGAGTCGAGCCCAGGATGTGGTAGGGACTCAGTCCGGGATGTGACATCTTGCCTTAGTATAAAATATATCGTTGTACTAAAAAAAAAATCAAATGTGTGTACCGAAATGCATGTATATGTTTGTATCAATGAATTAATGTGTACCTATATGTTTGTATCAATGGATACACCGAAATATACAAATGTATTAATGTACCTAAATGAAGAACATACAAAATTGTTGTCGGACTATATATTATAAAAAAATAGTTGCCTAAATGTAGAATTAAAATATATTATGATAAATGAAATGAAAATTAAATTTAAATGTAATTATTACATTAAAATAGGAATAAAAAGATAAATAAAAGATCAAAATATAACTAATAAAAGAGATACTAGGGACTAAAATTGAATTGTAATCTTACACAAAGTCATAGTCTAAAACTCATCTTTTTTAAGGATTAAGATGAAGTCTTCTATTAAAAATTTCAAATTTTAACCCAAGGGTTGAGACTTGAGATGGTCTAAAGAGAGAAGCTTGCATACATGATTAAGATTTACATCTAAAATTAATAAAAGAATGATATGTGAGAAAATTGAAACTTATATGACATTAGATTGTTAGCTCAAAACGCTAAGGTATCATCTTTAAGAGGTAGGTAAGTCCTTCTGGTTTAACCTTCATTTCTATGGGGATATGAAAACTACATAGATATCAACTTTGAATGCACGTCGAGGCTTGATTCAAATTCAATTCAAATCTAACACATGGAGTCATTATTAAAAAAAAGGAAAGACACCATCAAAGTGTGACCACTTGAGTTCAATTCAAGCATGTAAATTTGTATTATATCACATTTGAGCATATTGATAAAAGCCACCACTATTTATAGTTCCGTAATTCATAGTTCCAACTAACAAGCTAAAATCCTTGTGGGCCTCTCTCTCGATCTCTCGATCAATCTAGCTAACAAAAGCATCTTCTTTTTCATGCTTCTTTTCTTTTTTTCGAAAGATGTATATATCCTTGTCAAAACAGGAGGGGTTGTTGTTGTTGAATATTCAAAATCGGGCGTTGAAAGAAAGAAAAAAAAGTTCAAATATCATAATTCTGCTTCATCTAATATCAAGACATTTTGTGGTAAAATTTCACATTTATTGGACTGTGCATGTAGTAATTAACAAATTGAAGATAATATCAGTGTAGTTAAAAGTGAGCCCCGTCTCTCTGATAATTTGAAAGTTGTGCTCTCTTTTTCCTTTTCCCCATTTCAAATGCAGCAAAGGTAAATTTTTTTTTCTTCTTTTACCTTAACGTGGTCATGGACTGCACGAATATAATTCCACCCGCAGTTAGCCATGAACAAGAGCTCACCATGCAAACAATGATGGAGCTAGGCTTATAAAACCAGTTGGAGGAAAATATTACACTTCAGAAGCCCAAGCCGCTCTAATTGATGCGCAGCACTTGTAATGCCATTTATTGAGGAAAATATTACAAAACCAGCTGGAGGCAGAAGGACGCAGGGAACTACCCAAGAGAGCCGAAAGAAGATGTGAACGGGAAAAAAAGAGGACGCGTTAACTGATGGACAATAAAGAGTTAATAGAGGCCAGAAAACTTATTACTTTTTATAAAAACTAAAGGTCATCATGTTCTAAATCGTGAGATTATTATAGTGGTGGAGATTTAGTGAAATGCGCGAAGCTTAAATGTAGAGACTCGAAATCCGTAGATTTGTATCGTGTGACAAAACACAAAGGTAATGCAAACATAAACCCTAAATAAAAGGGAAGGAATTTTAATTCCTATCCTACTTCTAAACTGTAATACGTAAAAATACCCTAATCTAAAAATAAACCTCAATTTGCTAACCTAATCTTTACTATTAAGATTTCATTATCCTTGAATCAAATTCCAGGAAAAAGATTAAGCAAAGATTCCTTACAGGGTGCAAGATTGCAATATTCTCAAAGCGCAGATGAATGGACCAGTTTCTGGGTGTTGTTGCGATAGGCAAATATATAATCCTGTTGGTTCCTGCATTAATCGTATTCTATATAGGAATTGGAGTTGGTTTTAGATATATACAAATTAAGGGTATTCCTAAAGTTAACTTTTGATTTATAGTTATTTTCTCTGTAATGCTCATACTATTTTGTGTCATATCATAGTGCACTCACTTCAAGGCTTGAAGGAAACATTTTATTGCTGATGCTACAAGCTAAGCACATAATATGTGTATGAGGAAACTTATATTGATTTTTTTTTTTTGGTTCGAAAAGTTTAGGGGGGAGGGAAGGCTACCCCATTGCAGGGTTAAGGTATGTCACAAGCTTCTTTGAGGCCTTACAGAGGAGGTCTTATGTCATTTTTTGATTTTTACAGATCGCCTACAAATAAGAATTGCAAGCTATGAAATTCGAAACTAGACCTTGGTCTAGCGAAGACCCTTGTCAACTTTAATTGGTTTTATACTAAGATTAATACAAGAAATCAATTTATAAACTAGAAAACTTATGACCAAGAAATTCAGTCTAACAATTTTAATTAAGTTTGTCTAACAATCATTGCCAATTATATCCATCGATAGAGAAGAGTCTTGCCACCAATAGGTAGTACAGTACATAAGGAAAAAAAAACCTTTGCCAATTGGTATTAAATGCAAAACAAAGCAAGTGAAAACTTTATTTAAAAAAAAAAAAACTATATTTGCATATTCATAATGTGTCACATCTCAGTCTTGACTTCGTCGTAGCACGATATTTGTCCGCTTTGAAATTCAGTCTAACAATTTCAATTAAGTTTGTCTAACAATCATTGCCAATTATATCCATCGATAGAGAAGAGTCTTGCCACCAATAGGTAGTACAGTACATAAGGAAAAAAAAACCTTTGGCAATTGGTATTAAATGCAAACAAAGCAAGTGAAAACTTTATTTAAAAAAAAAAACTATATTTGCATATTCATAATGTGTCACATCCCAGTCTTGACTTCGTCGTAGCACGATATTTGTCCGCTTTGAACTTACCATTCCCTCACGGTTCTGTTTTTGGGAACTCACAAGCAACTTCCCAGTGGGTCACCCATCCTGGGAGTGACCTGGCCTCCTTTTCGCTTAACTTCGGAGTTCTTACGGAACCCGAAGCTAGTGAGCTCCCAAAAGGCCTCATGCTAGGTAGGGATGGAAATATATATTTAAGGATCACTCCTCTGGGCGGTATGAGATGTTACATAATGAGTTCCCAAGTCTCACTCATATATTTGGTAAAACATAATTAGAATATAATACCACATAATCTAATAAAACTTGTTTTATTCATAATGGGTTTGGAACTGTTGATTCCCTTTTATTCATAATTGTCAATTTGTTCGACACGTAAGGATGACTAAATTGTAATCGAATGATTTTTTAATAAAGCTGCTCTTTACATGGTGATATAGAGAATAAACAATTTAAATTATGACGTTTGTACATAGAAATGATGTAACATTAGCGAGTAAGGAAGAAAGTCTTTTCAAGGAAGGATGGAAGTATTATCCGTAAACAACCTTTGGTGATTGGCATTGTAGTTTTAGAGAGACGGGTTGCAGTGTATCACTGATAGCATAGATATTGTTCTTACCTAATCACTCGTGTAAGCAATAGGTGTGGAACTTTTATGCAAACAGACTTGATTTACTTAGAAGTGGAATCATTTTATATAAATTATGATTTCTTTTCTGAAATGCGGATATGAGACTTTTAATTGATTCAGAAATAGGTATCAACGCAAAACAACACAAGTGAAAACAATACTAAAAAAAGGTTAATATTGTCATATTCATAATGAGTTCCCAAGTCTCACTCAAATTATTTGGTAGAACATAATTTGAAACACGAACATAAAATCTAACATATTCTAATAATTCTAGAACATGTTTAATATATTCAGTAAGAATGGAACAGACGGTTCTTGAATCAGGTAAGTAGTCATCTTCAAAGGCACCAACTTATTTGACAAAGTTTGCATATTCAAAGAGGTTACTTGAGAAGGGAACCTAAATCGTACAAGGTAAAGTGACTTCATGCTTGTAATTAGTTATGTGGTCAATCCAATGCTACAAAGATTAAATTTGAACACCAAATTTGTAAACTAAATAATGTGTCACTAATAAGAATTAGCATGCTTATCAATGTTTAAGTAATAAATCAATCATTCACTTCCATATCCTTTACTTTTCAAATTTTAGACTACAAATTTAATCTCCTTAGCATTACCCAAAACTTATACCCACCAACTCCCCCATTGTTTTTCTCCTCCCACTCCCACAAAACATGCACACATTACAAAAACACATAAAATAATTCAAAATATTACATGCAAACAAACCACCAACTAAACAACAGTTAAACATCTCTGAAACAACAATAAACAAATCATTTTTATTGTAAAATTATTTTGTAATTTTATTTGTGGAATGCTAAGAGTGATTGGAAGGTCACCCTCAATTTCTTCATCCAACATTGCTTCAATTTTCTGCTTGCTTATTCTACACATTCTTTAAAAATCATTCCCTCTCCAATATTCTCCTCAGAAATTACTTGGTTTAGAGAGAGAGAGAGAGAGAGAGAGAGAGAGAGAGAGAGAGAGAGAGAGAGAGAGAGAGAGAGAGAGAGACTCAGGTGATCAGTTGCAACACAAATTAATCAACCTCTCTTTCTCTCTCTGTGATCTCTGAAGAAATCCAAGTAAAGTTCCCAAAAAATGAAGAACAATACCAACACAAAGCTGATCCTTCTCCATCCTTACATCCAAAAGCAAGGAAACTCCAACCGCCTATGGCTTCTGGCCTTCATGTCATTGTTCACACTCGCCTTCCTCCTCACAATCGTCTACACAAGCGGCTTATACGCGTACTCATCCACCAGCACCACCACGACAACCACAATCCCCGCCGCCACAATAACCGCCACTAACACCGCCGCCCCACAGCTCCCCACCACAGTCATCAACACCCTCCTCCACTACGCATCCAAATCCAACGACACGTTCAAAATGCCGTACGCCGACATCAAGCCCATCTCTGATGCGCTCCGAAAATGCTCCACCCCATGCAACTTCCTCATTTTCGGGCTTACCCACGAAACCTTACTGTGGAAAGCCCTAAACAACAACGGCCGTACCGTGTACATCGACGAGAACCGGTACTACGCCGCCTACATGGAGGAGAAGCACCCCGAAATCGACGCCTACGACGTGCAGTACACGACAAAGGTGAAGGAAACCAAGGAGCTCATCGCCGTGGCAAAAGAGCAAATACGCAACGAGTGCCGTCCGGTGCAGAATCTGCTCTTCTCCGAGTGCAAGCTGGGGATCAACGACCTGCCCAACCACGTGTACGAGGTCGAGTGGGACGTGATCCTGGTGGACGGGCCCCGTGGCGGGTGGCCGGACGCGCCCGGGAGAGTGATGCCGATATTCACGTCGGGGGTGCTGGCGAGGAGCAAGAAGGGCGGGAACGGGAAGACGCACGTGTTTGTGCATGATATTGGGGGGACGGAGGTGAGGGTTGCTGGGAACGAGTTTTTGTGTCGGGAGAATTTGGTGGAGGCGACGGAGACGATGGGGCATTACGTGTTGGAGAGAATGGACGAGAGTAGCTTTCAGTTCTGCGGCAACCGCACGACTTCGTCTTCGTCAGCAGCAAAGAAATCTTCTGCTTCTTCTTCTTCAGCATCGTCTTAATTAGTGATGGTGGGTGTTTAAATTTGGTAGTAATAATCATCATCATGCAAGATTCAGCAAGTGTTATATGGAATTATGTGGCATACAAAAGAGGTAAGCACTAAGCGTGGGTGAATATTTATGTTGATTTTGGTTTTTTAATTTTTAGAATTTCTTTTTCCTTTTTCCTTTTTTTTCATGGGTGGGGTGTAAAAATAATACTCTTTTTTGGAAATGCAAGCACAAGTGTAATTTTTATTACACTGAAATGAAAATATGAAATTCAGTTTTCGTCCAAGCTATTATTCAACATCTCAATTTGTGCAAGTGGTCATTTATTACAGTGGTGGAAAGAAGTTGAGTTCGTATATGACGGTATGGGTTTGAATTCCGTTAGTGACTAATCTAACATATAATCTAACAAAATCTATTGTTTGACCCAAAAAAAATTCTCAATTTGTTATTCTGCACTTCAAAATCAGTATTCGAACTCCGTTAAAAAATTGGGTCAATCAAAGCAGAGTGTGGAAATTATTTTGCTAAAGGAGTGTAGGAGAAAGTGTGGAAGGGTGAATTAACGTTTCTATTTTCATATTTACATCTTAATTTTTGGATTTGTGTTTGATTAACACTTCTCTCTAGAATGAGTCGTTGTATTAATGTCTTGGTGATGTGAGAGTCCTCACAGTTCTATAAAAGCATCTTGAATGGGAGTCCCTATTTAGGGATTCTCATCACCAATTTTAAGGATTTATTTAGAGACTTTAAGAGAATATTTGGGTCCCCAAAGGAATATGTTTGCAACGGAAGGCCCTTATATATAATATAATCTCTAAATGTAGGACCTAAAATATTTGGAGTATTATAGCGGTTGATAAAACCCAAAAAGCTATCTTTATTGGTGGTTTCACAACGGTTCAATAAAAGAAAAAGAAAAAGGAAAGCTACAAGAATGGCTACTAGCATTCACATGGGTGGGTTCAAAATCAAGACAAAAACAAAAAAAGAAGCTATTGTGTAGCATTCACAAGTGAGTAGTGTTTTATATTCAAAATCAACAGTGGGCTCATTCTTTGAGTTCTTATACATAGTCCTTATATTTGAGGATTTTTTTGAGTTATTCAGCGAGTCCCTATATATTTAGATATTTTAAAAACTTGTATTCCGACCCATTAAAAACCTTTTGTCTCTATATTTAAGGACTATACCGGACCTCATTTAGAGTTGCATTAGAGATGCTCTAACAAACTACCTGGGTGGTATCATCCATTCCTCCTGGTAATGGGGAGTTTGTCTCCCCCATACACAGATGGTCAAAGAAATAGGATCAAACAAACAAATAATTCGTTAAAATTCCAATCCATGTATGCCGTAAGCATAGAGATAATAACATTATTAATTGATTAATGATAGCTCCAACTACATCAGATTTTCAATTGTTTGACATGTTAAGTGAACCAAATTCAAACAACCATGTACCAACCTTATCGGCAAACCGAGCTCAACTGCTCAAGCCTATTACAAAAACAAAAGCGTTTATCGTGCAAGATATTAGAGTAATTGTTGGGGACCTATCATTTATAATTTTGGGATTTGGTTACAGCACATGCACTTTGGTCATTGTTAGATATGGTCATATATATGATTGTTAAATGGTGAATGTATTAAGTAAATGCATGTATCATAATTGACTTCTTTACGTTGATATACATTAGGCTTATTTACGGTAACACCTCCTCAAATTCAAACTCGCTCTCACTTTTTTTCCTGAAACTAATTTTTCTCGCTTAACCCCCAACAAGTGTATATACTAATCTCTTTCACTATGCCCTATTTCCGTTTAGAGCACTTCCAGTGTGTAAAGGCTTCCCTTGGCAATAGGCAATTCAATCCCCTCCAGTGAAAAGTAACTACTTTTAATGAACAGTAATTGCATTCTGCATCTCCACTCCTAAACTGAATAGCTACGGCAATAGGCAATAAAATTTAGTATTTTTTATGTTCTAAAATAATAAAAATATTTTTAATTTTGGATAGGATTTTTAACCGATTTCGTCACGTCCCATGTGTCATTATTCGAAAGTACAATTTTTGTAGATAGATTTCGATAAGATTTTTGACCAATTCTGTCGCGACTTCCATATTTAGAATTGTTGAAAATATTGAAATGTGGTGTAAGGTGGAAGAAAATGATAAGATATTTATAGAAAACAAATTATAATTTTTTAAATTTGTTTTGAAATTTTTTCAGATTTTTATTTTTTTAAAATTTTTTTATTAACTTAATTAAGCTGAATTGTTGGGTTACAAACAAATTTGAAATTCAACAGTTCAGATTGTGACACGTGTCCTCGCGAAACATTTTTGTTTTTTTCTTATTTTTTAATTTTTAAAATGAAAAAAAATATGAACCGTTGATCTGGAAATCAAACGGTCCATATTCAACTGCTACTTAGTGGGCTGCAACGCAGGCCCCACCGTCTGAAATCTTGTTGGAATGAGCTGACGCCACTTTGAGAGGGGATTGGATTGCAAATGGAGCGTGTCCACAGAGCAAAAGAGCACAGTGGAAGTGCTCTCAAGTCCGATCGGTTAAACCTTATGATCTGGCACAACCGGCACAAATGGAACCCACTTGCCAATTCCTTCGTCATTGTCTCATCCCTTCCCTTCACGGCTTCACCCACCCCTCCTCCTCCATCACCCACCCGGGATAATGAGACTATGAGAGGAATGTATATTAAAATGGTATAGATGGCTATTTTGATTTCTGAAATATCATACATATCTACATTGTATATATATGGTAATATATGTGGTATTATTTGAATGTAACAGTAGAATAAACATGACAATTTTCATCAAAAGATTGACGCATACTTTTACAGAAAACAACCTATCCATTGAGTCATTACCTATTTTTCTCTTATGTGTGCAGGCATTGCCTTTTTCTATAACAAGGGGGACCGTTATATGTATCTGTTCTTCTCTATAATATTTAGATACAATTGTTTTACATAATATCTTTTCGAACTACAATGCTAGAAATCTTGTTGTGTAATCGTCCCTTACATATATTTTAGTCTTCTCTATAATCTTTAAGAATATTTTCTTTCATATGCAAACGGTAGTAGATACAAACATTTGTTTTCCTAAGACAAGATAAGTTCATGCGCCACTTTACCTAATTAATCTTGACTTCCTAGCCACATTGCCTCAACCTCAATAAAATATTTTGTCAAATATATTATTGTGTTACAATTATGCTCAAATATAATATTATTGTGCAATATCGCTTGTAAGTTAACACATTTGGTCTTATGAAGGATCCACACATGCAAGAAATCAGTAAAATCAACCCAATCGAGTGACATAACTTACATAAGTCATGTGTGTTATTTTTACACACAAGATATAATTCATTACCCTTTTTAGATCTAACCACGCTCAAATTTTTACGGTTAGTGAAAAAATTGCTTGGACTTTATAAAGTTTCTAAAAGCTAGATGAGATCGACTCCTAGTTTAGTTAGCCGTACAAAAAAATTGTCAGATCTATCCACGTGTACTCCTCCCTCCACCATGGCAGAGTTGATGGTTTCACCATCTGGTGGCAACCCATTTCTCATAAAATCCTACTTTTTAATTATTTTATTTTATTTTAAATACCCCTTGTATTTCTTAAATATGAACCACATATGTGATATGCCATTCTAACGTTTGCTTTGACTGAATTTATAGAAATGGGATATAGTAAGACATGTCTTACAAAAGGTTGGGTTGCTTCTCATATTGCCAATTGGTTTTATGATGTAATCCCAACTTTGGTGTATTTAATTGGGAATTTGAGAGATTTTTTAAAGGATTTATAAATCCATGGATTTTTATGGAGTTTAATTTATTTAGAGATTCCATGTAAAATTTTGATTCAATTCTCTCAAAATTTCATGGGAGAGGTGAGATTTGTGAATGCTTAAAGTACACTACGAAATCTCTCCAATTCTCTCTAATTCTTCATGTAACAACCCGTCCCAAATTTTATGATTTTATAAATTTAAAAGAGTGAATTGATGAAAATGCCCCTGTTGACAACGAAATTTCGGTAAATAAATCTTCACCAATGCATTAAAGTTTTGACGTGTCACAGCATACATGAGATGCGCCACGTGTCACACAATTGTACACATGGCATGTGACTCAACAGATTGGAAGAAATACCCTTGGATCATTAAACAAGTTTTTCTTCTCATTTTTGGGCAATGACAAGGCAAGCACACTTCAATCCATTATGGATGAAAACAAGTTTTTCTTCTCATTTTGGGCAATGACAAGCCAAGCACACTTCAATCCATTATGGATGAAAACAAGTTTTTCTTCTCATTTTGGGCAATGACAAGGTAAGCACATTTCAATCCATTACGGATCAAAACGAGTTTTTCTCATTTGGGCAATGACAAAGCAAGCACACTTCAAGTTTAAAATTGTATCAAGTGGGAAAATTAGGCCATAAGTTAGACCACTTCAAGTTCAAAATGGTATTAAGTGGGAAATTAGGCATATGTTAGACCATTTCAATTTCAATATTGCATTAAGTGGGAAAATTAGGTAATGGTGCTTAAGTGGGAAAATATTGTGGTGGTGATTCATTCTCAAAGCCTATAAATAGGCTTCTCCATCAAGGTATCAAGCGTCCTAAAAAAAACACCAATTCACATCACAGAAATACCTTGAAGCTTTGAAGCTCTAAAGCTCTCAAGCAAATCCCGAAGGATCAAGAAAGCCCTCTTCGTTCTTCGTCAAATCCTCCTTCAAGATCAAGCCCCAACGGCCCTTGAAGAACTTCCACCAATTCAAGATCAAGCATCGACATCCCTTGAAAAAAAGTGTTCATCGTTCATCATCTGTTCATCCTAAGATCAAGCTCCAACGGCCATTTGGATCAACAACATCAACAAATCCACACATCCGTTCTTCAAGATCAAGCCCAAAAGCCCTTAAAGATCTGTTCATCCTCAAACCTTCAAGATCAAGCCCAAAAGCCCTTGAAGATTTGTTCATCCTCAAACCTTCAAGATCAAGCCCAAAAGCCCTTGAATGAACTTCCCTCAACCTTCAAGATCGCCCCGAGGGCTCTTAAAGAAATTTCCAACAGTTCATCCAAGATCAAGCTTCAACGACCCTTGGATCAACAAAACATCGACAAATCAACACCTTACGGAGATCGAATCAGATGATCAAGTTATAAAGAGATTGTAACCCTACAAATCCATTAACACTAAAAATTTTCTTTGTACACGTTGTTCTTC